ACAGCCTGGTACTCCTTGGTTCAAGTGATCCTCTCCCTTCAACCTTTCCTGTAGATGGGACAGCAGGCATGCACCTTTGTTCCTGGCTAAAAGTATTCTTAGCTTTAACATTTTAAAACCAAATAGCATTTATTATTTTTAAAAAATTTAAAATAATAGGTTTCATTATAGGAAATCTTAAACCCTGCAGAAGTGCATACACACAGAAAACAAAAATTACCCATTATCTAGACACCTATGTGTATCTTATTAATAACATTTTGATGTGAGACCTTTTAGTCTTCTATTCTATACATGAATCTACACATACATCTAATTATTTGCTAATAAAATGTGACCATATTTTTACTATTTTAGAGTATTATTTAATGGCATATTTCTTACATGAATTTAATGTCTGCATATTATATGGCATATATAATGTATTACATTACGGAGAAGTAAAGAGCATAAGATTCAGCTTTGATATAAGATTTGAATGTTATCAGACCACTTAAAATTCTAGGAAGGAGTGACTGTGTAAATGATTCAAGTTTTCTTTTTATAGTCCACCATTCTCCAAAATTATATTTGTAAAAATTGGTGGAAGAGATATTTTAAAAAATCTATTGATGTATACTTTGTTCCTTATCATTGAGCAGTAATGAGCCTGCTTCAATACTATAACTCTTATTTTGTAGATTAAATTCCTGTAAGTGGAATTTTTAGAGGAAGGAGTCTGCATGTTTTAAAAAGTTTTAGTAGATATTGCTAAATTGCTCTCTAAAAATTTGTACTAGTTTATACTCTAGATTTGTATGAAAGCATCTGTTTCGACTGTTTTTAAGAAATTAAAATTGATCAAGATGACTTTTTTTTTTTAAAAAAAGAAAAGAGTAGAAGTTATTCTTTTATGTCATTGTTCTTCCTATCTTTATAAATGGGGATAGCACTACCAACCCTTAGAATCGCTCTTATGTCAGTGATGCTTGATTTTACCAATATATCTGTTACCTAAACCATTGTTGTGCATCAGAGTCTCTGCAGAAGATCTCATGAATGTGGTGGCAATTATTTTGACTTATGCTTGTTGCTACTACATATGGGAAGATCCACATTTTTTTAAAGATATATCTTGTTTATCAAAGGCTGGTAACTTAAGAATCAGAAATTAACATCATATTTAGCTGGTATTTTCATATGAAAACATACAATGAAAAAGATGTACTTGCTAAACATTGCCTAACAGTTTAAAAATTCTAAATTTTACAGATTATACAGTTTTAATATATAGATTAAAAAGATAATATTAACATTTGGATGTATTGTGTTCATCTTTTAGCTACTAATTAGTAAATTTGAGTCCCAATTAAGTTGAAAGTAATGGCAAAAGAAATGTTATAGTCATTAGCTCATGAGTATCTTTAACTAGTGGTTTATAGAAGTGCTTTCCAAACATTACAAACAGCTATAGATTAGCTATCAAATGATTGTGAAGATTAATGACTAGTCTTTTAACTGGGTAATTTAGAACAATATCTGGCAATTAATTGGAAATTATCAGTTTTAAAGTCACAAATATCTTAACGAAAACAGCACCCAAAAAGATAATCCTGATAATTATTCATTTGCCATTTAGCTTTTAGACCATTGGAGTAAATTAAATTAAGGGCAAATTTAAAAACCTATTTTATTTATTTAGAGTAAATAAAGGGCAAATTCTATTTATTTAGAATTTTAAAAGCATTTCAGATTCCGAAATTAAATGCTTTTCTACCTATGGTTTTATACTCTATTAATCAAATATGAAGTTAGAATAAATACATTTTCAGATATTTGAGATCTCAAAAAATTTCATTTATATGCATTCTTACCCAAGAAGACACTGCAGGATATTGAACAAAAGGAGAGAATAAAATAAACGGAAAGAAATGAAATATACGAAACAGAAGAGACAACATAGAAGAGAGATGAAGGGGATCTCCAGAACTGTAGAAAGGGAGCTCACCATAGCAGCTATGTGGTAGACAGGTGACAGTCCATCTGGACTGAAGCAGTTTGGCTCAGGAGAGGTAGACCTTTATTCTTTTTTTTTTTTTTTTTGAGACGGAGTTTCGCTCTTGTTACCCAGGCTGGAGTGCAATGGCGCGATCTCGGCTCACCACAACCTCCGCCTCCCAGGTTCAGGCAATTCTCCTGCCCCAGCCTCCTGAGTTGCTGGGATTACAGGCACGCGCCACCATGCCCAGCTAATTTTTTGTAGTTTTAGTAGAGACGGGGTTTCACCATGTTGACCAGGATGGTCTCGATCTCTTGACCTTGTGATCCACCCGCCTCGGCCTCCCACAGTGCTGGGATTACAGGCTTGAGCCACCGTGCCCGGCCTAGACCTTTATTCTTACTAGGAGTACTTAGCTTCCTTGCCTTGACCATGTGCTGATTAAGTTCCTGTTTTCCCTTCTAATTCGACTGCCTGAATCACCTGGAGATTCTCACTTTACTATGCAAAGATATGCTCTGGTTCAACCTATTTCTTAGGGTAAGGGTTCACCATGGAGAGCTTAGAATTGAAAAATATGAAGTAGTCTACTTCTCAGACCTTATTTATGCCAATATACTCTACCTGGCACACACCACCTCTGATAGATTCTCCAGCTCTCTTGACCTCTATATTTCCTGTATTTCCTAATAACTTGCCTATAAGACTTCCCAGAAATAGCTTTACATATTCTCTTAAGTAAGCTGAAGCCCTGCTGGAGCTCACAGATTCTGAATATCTTGTCTTTTCTTGGGAGCCTCAGGTGTGGCAGTATTGCTTTTCAAAATACAATTTGCTCAGTTTGTGTTGGACTTAGTATTTCAAACTAAACATAATGGGTATGTTTAGTATATAGATAGTAAAACTATTCTTTAAAATTGTCTGCCAAAGCTCTGTCCTCCAGGTAAAACTATTTATAAACAGTGAACAATAGAAATATCGGGATAGTGATTTCCTTCTGATTGTAGTGGAGAAGTAGGGAGTACAGCCAGGCAGGACGCATAGAGGAATTGTGAGATACTGATAATGTTTTACTTCTTGACATGGGTGGTAGGTATGTGAGATTAAAAAAATTGTTGTTTCTCAATCTGTACATAAATTATATATATATATGCTCATGTTTATCGATCCATTGTGTAATACAAATTCTAAAAACCTTTAAATAAAATCAAAGCAAATGATTATTGAAAACGTCGTTCTATAACACAGGCTATTGTAGAAATAAATGGCCTATTTTCAAAATGACAGTGAGGTTGTTAATAGGTAACCTGCTTCTTTTGATAATGATAATTGTTTTATTGGTACAGAAATGCTCTTCCTAAAGTCAGTTTCCCAAACAGTAGGCTAACCAATCCTTTTTTTTTTTTTTTTTTTTTTGAGATGAAGTCTCACTCTGTCACCCAGGCTGGAGTGCAGTGGTGCTATCTTGGCTCACCGCAGCCTCTGCCTCCCGGGTTCAAGTGATTCTCCTATTTCAGCCTCCTGAGTAGCTGAGATTACAGGTGTGCACCACCAGGCCCAGCTGAGTTTTGTGTTTTTAGTAGAGAAAGGGTTTTGCCATGTTGGCCAGGCTGGTCTTGAACTCCTGACCCCAGGTGATCCGCCCACCTCAGCCTCGTAAAGTGCTGGATTTCACCACTGATTTTTTTTTTTTAATAAAAATATTTCTAAGTTTTAGAATTAAGAACATATTTACAATTAGGAAAAATATTTACAAATATTCAGTTAGGAAAATATTTATTCCCTGAACATTTTTATTTTTAGGTATATCACATGGCATGAATGTTCTGTATATGTCGTGAGTAAAGGCTAGTTAATATCAACAGAAGGATATTTTTGCATCGAGAGTCATTTTTACTTTTGTTTGCATTTCATCTATGTGCATACTTCTGTGATTCAATAAAGCCTATAGATTTTTGTGCTTAAAAAAAAATCAGCTTTTCTTCTTTGATTATCCTACCATCCTCTTATACTATGGCTCAATAAAGATTTATTGAATGAATGTCCAATTTGCTGTGTATAATAATGTAGATTACAGAAACAAACACCTTTGAGATTAATAAACTATGCTTATACTTTCTGCATGTATGATAGTTTTTTGGCATTTTTGTTGCAAGAGGTGATGGGGGTTAACATTGAAACATCAATGGAAATCACATGATAGTGGCTATACAATAATCCAAAAGAGATTTAAAACATTCTAAATTTTGTGACATTAACAAGTACAGCTCTCTCTTTAAAAAAATTTTACTTTTTCAGTTTTTTCGTATTTATTTGGGTAAAAGGCAAAGCATGATATAGAAATGTTCACCGTGCCTAATATATAGTAGTCACTCACATTTAAATGGAATGAATGGATGTATGTATGGATCCGTTGAAACATTCAGACTATTTTCGACTAGTTCAAACTTTGGAAGTTATGGTTAAACTTTGGGGAAGGGCTGGATCTTTTTTCTCCCATTGCTAAAATAACTTGTATTCATTAGCTTAGTGAGATAATGGTTTTGTAGCTTAATAGATATATGTAGAGCTACTGTAATGGTGAGCATAATTAACTGATATTTTTAATCTCTCCTGTGGACAATTCCTGTGGAAATTGGTAGTCCTAACAGTTGAAACAAGTGTTACCCAGTGCATAAAACACTTCCCAATGGTACATACTTAGATTCTGGTACGAGTTATGGTAGCCAGTAGAATAGTGTATCCTTTTCCTATACATGTTTAAGAATAGGCTAAATGACTATGTTCTTGTTGTGGTTTCATGCTATGCTACTTGTTAATATTAAAATTGGCTGTCATTTTTAATGAATATTTAGATTTTTGTGATTAACTTACATTTATCATTCTACTAAAATAAAATATAGGAAAATTAAGCTTCATTGTATTATATAAACTATGTATTTGAAAATTATTTAATTTTATATTTTGTATTCTGTGTTTATTTCTCCTGCATATTTTAACTGACTGTACATTTTTCACCTAGGTCACTTTTGAAATACACAAAGAAAACCTTGCCAATATGTTTAGGGAACAGCAAGGAAAAGTTGATGAAGAAATAGGGCCCTCTTCTTCAACTTCAGTTGAAGCAGCCTCTGTCATTAGAAGGGATGTTAATGTTTCAGCAGGATCCCAGCAATCAGATAGGAAGGATTCTCCTGTCTATCCTCATTTCACCACAAATGGTAATGAAAATTCAAGTATAGAGAAGACATGCTTACTAGAATCTGCATCTAATATTGAACTGCAAACTACTAATACATCTTATGAAGAAATGAAAGCTGAGCAAGAAAATCAGGAGTTACCAGATGAAGGCACGTTGGGAGAAACATTGACAAATGAGACAAGGAATGCAGGTGATTTAGAAGTATCTTCTGACATAATAGAAGCTGTGACTATTTCTTCTAATTCTTTTATAACAACTGGCAAAGATTCAGTGACTGTCAGTGAAGTAACTGCTTCTATAAGTTCTCCTTCAGAAGAGGATGCTTCAGAGATGCCAGAGTTCTTGGATAAGTCTATAGCAGAGGAAGAGGAAGATGATGATTATGTGGAACTGAAAGTAGAAGGCAGTCCTACTGAGGAAGCTAGTCTACCCACAGAGCTCCAAGATAATAGTTTGTCTCCAGCTGCATCTGAAGCCAGTGAAAAACTGGACATGTTTGGCAATGATCACAAATTAATATGTCAAGAAGGAAAACCTGTTACTGAAAAGCAAACTAATACTGAAACTCAAGATTCTAAAGATTCTGGAATTCAGACTATGACAGCATCAGAGTCTTCAGCTAGGTCACCAGAAACTACTGTTTCCCAAAGAGCTGTAGAATCAAACCTTGGTCAGATGCTGGAGGAAGGGAGGAAAGCAACTGCCCTCACTAGAGAAACCAAATTAATTAGTGATTGTCATGGTAATACCTCTGAGGTTTCTGCTGCTTCTGAGCAAAAGATTGCAAAGTTGGATGTTTCCAGTGTTGCTACAGATACTGAGAGGCTGGAATTGAAGGCCAGTACAAATGTGGAAGCACCTCAACCTCATCGACATGTGCTTGAGGTGATTTTATATATTGTCTTCAAGTATTTTTTCACTGAGTTAAAAAAGAGCAAGCATATATACTTAAATTTTATTTTGGATTTGATTCATATTGTGTTCTCTAATAAATGCAATGAAGGTGAAGATTGTGTTTCAGATTGTTAGCACAGTGTTTAGCAGTTAATGTGAGTTCATTAAATGGCAGCTTTTATTATTATTTTTACCATAGCATGATCAAAAGTTAGCACTTTGAATGATTGATATAATTTTGGTTTATAAAACAAATACTGGAAACACTTGCATTTTACCTTTTATTTGACTAACCCAATCATAGTACATTATTTTTCAGTAAGCTCTAGGGTTACCTACTTGCCAGTGTGTAATTTTAGTTACCAAGTGTGTGATTTAAAATTGTATTATGAATTCTATAAGAGAGAGGAGTCTTTGTGAGATCTAAAGGCACAGCCTTCTTCTCTATCCGTATCTCAGAGTGACCCATGAGACAATGCTTGGTAGCATGTTGTCGTTTTTCACTTTATTCAGTTCTTACCCTCTATCCCACCTTCCTTTTTTTTGTTTTTGTTGGTTTGTTCTTCATTGTTTTTATTTGTTCATCATTTTAGCCACTTCATAATCCAGATTCCATTTAGATTTTAAATACTGCCTTTCTTTTAGGCTAAGGTTCAAAACTAATAACTGTTACTTGATTCCTTTATAACATGCTACATAGTGGTAATACTTAACATAATTCCAATTTAGTTACTTCTGAATTGTGGTAGTTTTATACTTTTGATGCTTTACTTATGTGTACTAAAATATTAATGTCATTACTCACTGATAATTTTTCTGTCTCTAATTTGGTTCTTTAGTGTCTTAAAATGTGTTAGATGGATTGCATAGAAACTACTAAATTGTTTACTTTTCTAAAGCCTTCTGTTGAAATTGAACTTATTTTATTACTTTTTAAATTTTCTGTATTAGATGTCAAGGCAACCTGAGGAGCCAGGGCAAGGAATAGCACCAGATGCAGTTAATGGACAAAGGAGGGATTCCAGATCTACTACGTTTCGTATTCCTGAGTTCAACTGGTCTCAAATGCATCAGCGTTTGCTCACTGATCTATTATTTTCAATAGAAACAGATATACAAATGTGGAGAAGGTTTGTCTATATGTTTGTTATGGAAGATATGTATAAACCTAGTCTTTTATTTTCAAAGAAATCTATAGAAGCACTTTGTAATTTCAGACATTTGTTTAAAATGTAGGATAGTAATTATTCTATGCTAGGGTTTTACTGAATTAACTTTTATTCTCCATTATAAAAGAATGGAATCCTTATCTGGATTACAAAAACACGAAAAGCAGAGGTTTCTCTTTTTAAAAAAATTGTAGTGATTTCCTGTAGCCATTTTATAGCATGGAACTCGCCAGAAGGTAGGTCTATCAAGTTGGTTTATTACTAGAAGTGTTAAAAAACAATTAGGATAAGTATAACATTATCAATATTTCCAATATATTTTTAGCATTAAAAAATCCGTATAGTTCAAATTATTCTTCATTGTATGATTTATGATTTTAAAAGTGCCTAATTTTTTATTTTATTTGTGTAAGATTCTTGTTATGTTTAAAAGCATTTCATAGGCATTACAGAAGAAAATTCATTTTTAATAGCACATTTACCTCATAAATTTTGTCACATGATTTCTCAGGTTTGTTCCCAGTTAGGATAATTTTCTTCAACTTTTTATGTCAAGTGTAAAATGAATAGTATTTATATTTCAGCACTGAAAAAGGTCATGGATAGTAACTACTGATATGGAATGGTCTGTTCCGTCTGAAGAAGTATACACCCCCTACTGCATCATCTTCCTTCAGTTTTCAAGATGAAGCAAAAGCATCTTCTTGTCCTCCCTCCCCTCAAGTAGGGAAACTGTGATTTCCTTTCTTTAGCTTTATCAGTAAACATCATTTATCTTTGGACAGCCATTCAACAAAGACAGTTATGGACTTCGTGAATAGCAGTGATAATGTCATCTTTGTACACAACACAATTCATCTCATCTCTCAAGTGATGGACAATATGGTCATGGCTTGCGGGGGTATACTGCCATTGCTTTCAGCTGCTACATCGGCTACAGTAAGGACTTAATTACTGTATAAAATTGGTGTGAAAACATGAGTGTTAGGCAACTTTATTAACTAAAACTTAAATGTGGTGGTTACTATGCACATAGATGCTATAAATAAAAAACAATAGTATCTATTACTTGCCTTAGAATCTGGTCTAGTAATGAAATAACTGAAGAAAATGTTGGTTCCCTAGGTATGAGTCAGCTAGTGAAAGAATATGGTTCATGGTGTTTCACCTGTATGTTTCTCTTGCTCCTCCTCATACCCCTACCTTTTTTAGATGAAATAATAAGTATAAATCACTCTGTGTTACTAGGTTTCTGAAAGTCTGACTTCTTGTAAAATTTATAAATTTTAGGAGTGTATCTGGTAATAATTTTTTTTAGAATATGTATTTAAATGTCAAACTTTTTTTTTTTACAGCATGAACTGGAAAATATTGAACCTACTCAAGGCCTTTCAATAGAAGCCTCTGTGACATTTTTGCAGAGGCTAATTAGCCTTGTGGATGTGCTTGTATTTGCAAGTTCTCTTGGCTTTACTGAAATTGAAGCTGAAAAAAATATGTCATCTGGAGGGATTTTGCGGCAGTGTCTCCGACTGGGTGAGCTGTTAAAAACCATTGGAAATTTACTTAAAAAAATTTTCAGTAATTCAGAGATGACATTAGAAATTATCCATCTTCTGTTGGTGAGAAAATATGTGCTAGCTTATTCACTATATGGTTACTTTTTGATGTACTATGCATAGTAGTAGTTGGTAAGTTGGATGGGGAAGGAGGAGGATATATTTTGAAAAATTTACTGCTGGATGTGGTGGCTCACGCCTGTAATCCCAGCACTTTGGGAGGCCAAGGCAGTTGGATCACATGGTCAGGAGATTGAGACCATCCTCACTAACATGGTGAGACCCTGTCTCTACTAAAAATACAAAAATTTAGCTGGGCATAGTGGTGTGTGCCTATAGTCCTAGCGAGTCAGGAGGCTGAGCAGAAGAATGGCTTGAACCCGGGAGGCAGAGGTCGCAGTGAGCCGAAATCGCACCACTGCACTACAGCCTCAGGGACAGAGTGAGCCTCTGTGTTAAAAAAAAAAAAAAGAAAAAAAAAAAAAGAATTTACTGCAACAATCTTGCATGTTCTTCACATGTACCCCAAAACCTAAAACACAATAAAATTAATGTATTAAAAAAAAAACAAAAACAGAATTTACTAAGGTGATTTTGGCCAGCAGTTTCCACCCTCCCTCATCCCTTTCTTTTTTTCTTTTTTCTTCCTGAGATGGTGGTCCTGCTATGTTGCTGAGGCTGGTCTCAAAATTCTGGGATCAAGTGATCCTGCTTCCTCATCCTCCCTAATAGCTGGAATTATAGGTGCTCCCAATCTCTTTTTGCTCCAAAGTGTGATTCTGAAATTTTAAGGAGATACATAAACATAAGGTGATTAACAAACACAAGGTGATTCATAAATTTGATGATCTTGTTAAAAATGCAGATTAGATTATATAGGTCTAGGCCAGGCATAGTGGCTCACGTCTGTAATCCCAGCACTTTGGATCCCAGCGGATCACCTGAGGTCAGGAGTTTGAGACTAGCCTGGCCAACATGCTGAAAACCTGTCTTTACTAAAAATACAAAAATTAGCCAGGTAGGGTGGTACGCACCTGTAATCCCAGCTACTTTGGAGGCTTAGGCAGCAAAATCGCTTGAACCCGGGAGGTGGAGATTGCAGTGAGCTAAGATCACAACACTGTACTCCAGTCTGGGCATCAGAGCAGGAATGTGTCTCAAAAAAGAAAAAGATTATATAGGTCTAGAGTGAGGCCTAAAATTGACTACAAAGTCCCAGGTGATGTTGATGCTGTTTCTCTTACAAACACACTTGAATAATATTGTTCTAAACGAGCATCATTCAAATACAGCTTTTATTTAAAAAAGCTGTGGTAATTTGTTAAAGCAGTTAATCATCAAATCTCTGTTCTTTTCCTCTGTTCTTTACTTCTTCCCTAGGTAAAAGTAAAAATACATGAAATGCCTTTTTTTTTTTTTTTTTTAGACTGTTGACCTTTTTGCATTGCTGTGCAGTGGCTTGATCTTGGCTCACTGCAATCTCTGCCTCCTGGGTTCAAGCAATTCTCCTGCCTCAGCCTCCCAAGTAGCTAGGACTACAGGCGTGCGCCACCATGTCCACCTAATTTTTTTGTATTTTTAGTAGAGACGGGCTTTCACCGTGTTGGCCAGGATAGTCTCCTGTCTCCTCACTTTGTGATCCACTCACCTTAGCCTCCCAAAGTGCTGGGATTACAGGCATGAGCCACCGCGCCTGGCTGAAATGACTTTTTAGTGCCAACTGAACTTCCTTAGGTGAAACAAAAAAACAAAAAAACAATTTTTTTTTGCATAACTTTCCTTCTATATAGTTGTAAACATCGAGACTTTGTTAAATGATTTTATTACTAAATGAAGAGAAAGTGGTGAGGAGAGAAGGAACAAGAAATGGAAGCAAACCATTAGGAGCCAAGGTCATATGAAGAGACAAAGAGACATAATGTGGAAGTGGGAATCTAATGAGTTAATGACATATTTTTTCATCTTTAGCAAGAAGATCTGTTACATAAACTAATGTATACTTGTGCTTTTTGGTACAAATAAGATTTTTACTCAAAATGCTATTTGAAGTATTTAATAGTATATACTTTATAAAATTCCAAGTATTTTATATTTAATAATAAATGACATATCCAGCTATTCTGAATAACTTGGATTAACAATTTATAGACAGTTGTTTTAAAATTTAAGAGACAAATTGGTGAGCATAACAGAATAAAAGCTATTATTTATTGATTACTGTCATTTGTCGTTGTTGATTTTATGGTGAAAATTTTGTTTTTTTTTAATTCATGAGGAAATTGAAGATCAAAGAAATTGGGAAACTTATCTTTAACTAAAAAGCTATAATTGGCGAAGGTAGAATTTGAATACTATGCTTTTGTCTAACTAGTGCTCCTACTCTTTCTATTGTAGTATACTTCTTTAATCTATTAGTAATTAAAATATTTAGACTTTATTGCTTTGTGTGTGCCATTTTCAAAGCCTTTTCACTTTCCTAAAAAGAGGACATTTCTAGAATTAAAAGTACAAGGCTGTGCTAGCAAAGCTTTACTCAAGAGCAGATTCAGAAGCTAGGGAAATATTCTATGTTCCTAATTTTTCATAGCTGTAGAAAAGAATTAAGAGATAATTTAATCTGCCCCAGTACCATTTGTTTTTATATATGGAAATGAGACTTAAAAAATGACTTGTCCAAGATTATTTGATAGAGTATGGTAAGCTAAGTAAACAGTCCAAATGTGTGATTTTTTTTTTAATTGTATAAATTTATAGGGTACAAGTACAATTTTTTTACATACATGGATTGCTTAGTGGTGAAGTCAGGGCTTTTAGGGTATTCATCATGGGAGTAACATACATTGTACCATTAAGTAGTTTCTCATCTTCCAACCCCCTCTCACACCTCATTCTTCTGAGTCTCCATTTTCAGTTATACACACTCTACATCCATGTATACACACTATTTAGCTCCCACTTATAAGTGAGAACATACAATATTTCTCTTTCTGTTTCTGACTTGTTTCAGTTAAGATAATGACCTCCATTTCCATCTTTATTGCTGCAAGAGACATGATTTCTTACTCTTTTACAGTGGAATAGTATTTCATTATGTATATATACCACATTTTCTTTATCTGGTTATCTGTTGTTGGACACTGGTGTCCTGATTCCTGTTGTTTCCTTGGGTTGGGGTTAAAAATTAGGATGGCAGCAAGAAGTAACTGATTGAAACCAGGAAATGAGGTGTGGTTTTTAATTTTGTAATGCAGACCCAAATTTGATTTTATGCAACTTGTGAAAAAGGTTGTATGGCAAGTATTTCCTTGGTCTGATAGCAAATTTGACAAAGTAAAATATTTCTAGGGTCTGATTTGACAAAGTTTTATTCCATATTCTCTCTTCTTTCCCTTATCCCCTCCTTATTTCCTTTCAACTTCTGTTGCTTTCTTTGGGCACTTTTCAGAATACTTTCTTTCTAAATTATCATGTCTGCTAGCCATATGGTAGGCCAGTGATTATTTGTGAAGTTCCCACTTAAGTTTGCTATTTTGTTCCTAATTTGCTCTCCCTCCATTGCTCAGTTCAAGTACCTTGAGTGCTACAGATTTGGTAGGAATTTAAATGATTACATGGTATCCAGCAGTTTATAGTGAAGTGTGCATAATGTATGTCATTTAAAATTCAAAATTAATTTCTAAGTAATCTAACTGCCTGATTTTTGGGAGCCTTAGGTAATTTTAGACTGTATATTAATCAATTTCCCTTTCTGTCTCCCATTTTCTAAGCAGTTTTAATGAATGCTAGTAAATGTTGGACCCTATAAAGCTTCTTCTAACTATAACCTCTATCAGTCTCAATATCATACTGTAATGATGCAATATAAGAAAAATGCCAAAATTTTCCGTTTAATTTACTTTAATGATGGTAGTAGAAGATTGTTATGTAGACTAGTTCATGGTAATATGCTTTGCTCTCTGTTTTCTTCCATTTCTTTCAATTCTTTTCTTCCCTGTCCTTTTCCTAATAAAAGATTGTCCCAATTAGCTTAGTTGAGATCTAAGAAACAGAAGCCTACTAAGATTCTGAAATAATTTCCTTTCAGCAAACCCTAAAGGTTTAGACCAGTAGGCCATACTGCCTCCCTAAGTCTTAACTGGGCCACAGCATGGAATCTAACAATATCAGACAACCAACACTAGGCGATAAAGTCTAGGGATGTTGTAGGAATATGCTGAATGTCATCTCTTTTGTATAAAATCTTATGTAAATCATATTGTGTAGTTGATGGTTTTTACTTCCATAATCTTAAACATTAACTTTTCTTTCCCAATCTTTTCCTTAAAATAAATTACAGTGTGTGCAGTGGCAGTAAGGAATTGCTTGGAGTGTCAGCAGCATTCACAACTGAAAACTAGGGGAGATAAAGCCTTGAAAACAATACATAGCTTTATTCCCTTAGGGAAATCTGCAGCAAAGGTAAGTATACAGATTAATTTTCAAAAAGCATATTCCTATTTTACAATTAAGTTTTTAAATTTCATTTCAACATAAAGTTAAATCTGGCAGAGATTAAAATAGTTACTTTAGGCCTGGACGTAACATTCAAATATTTGTGTTTAAATATACAGTAAAGATTTGTTTATACTCAATCTTGTCTGCTTTTTCAAATGTTTACTTTTCTTGTTTCTGTGATACCTTTTCCTTCAAATATGTCATTTTTTTCCTGCATGCCATCTTTCTCTACCCCACTTTCCAACCCCCCAAAGAAGAAAGAAGTATACACACAAAAAAAGTGGGGAAAGGAATGGTATAGCTTTGCTTCTCTGGTTCTTGGAATACTGTGTTTATTTTTAAAGAGTATTTGTGTAGTGTGTGTGTGTGTGTGTGTGTGTGTGTGTGTGTGTATGTATATATATATATATATGTACAATTTTTTTTTTTTATTCTTAAAGAGCCCAGTGGACATTGTGACTGGTGGTATATCTCCAGTAAGAGACCTTGACAGGCTTCTACAGGACATGGATATTAATCGGCTTAGGGCAGTTGTTTTCAGAGACATAGTAAGTTACAATATTTCTTTAACATACTCTCTTAACTAATGCATATTTCCTCTTAGACTTAATATATTGAGATTAAAACTTCTTTGTGATATAAAATAGTGTAGCAGAGATAGAAAGGTTAGAAACCAGTTCTTTTGACATTGATTTTAGAAACATAGAATATTAGAAACGATAGTCTACATAAAGGGAGCTATTAAATTAGTGTAATCTTATTAAAAGGAATAATGCATTATTACATAGTAAGTACTCTAAGTGCTATACATGTACTCATTAAGTCTAACCACTTTTGAGCTGTACTATTGTAATTTCCATTTTTTTTTTTTTTTGAGACGGAGTTTCGCTCTTGTTACCCAGGCTGGAGTGCAATGGCGCGATCTCAGCTCACCGCAACCTCCGCCTCCTGGGTTCAGGCAATTCTCCTGCCTCAGCCTCCTGAGTAGCTGGGACTATAGACACGCGCCACCATGCCCAGCTAATTTTTTGTAGTTTTAGTAGAGACGGGGTTTCACCATGTTGACCAGGATGGTCTCGATCTCTTGACCTGGTGATCCACCCGCCTCGGCCTCCCAAAGTGCTGGGATTACAGGCTTGAGCCACCGCGCCCGGCCTGTAATTTCCATTTTATAGATGAATAAATATTAGGCACATAGAGCTTGAGTAACATCTATCTCTAGCTATCGTTGATAGACAGTGATAAAATCAGGATTCAAACCCAGCAGTATTAATTCTAAAATTGATGCTCTGAATGTAATAAAATGTTCATTTCCCAGCAGTATTATTTCTAAAATTGATGCTCTGAATGTAATAAAATGTTCAACTTCTGAATGGCATATTATTTTACTGAATATTGGATATTTTTTCCTCAAAGGTATACTAATGTGATAAAAAGGTGCATGATGATGTTGCTCTCAGTTTGGTGGTTTTGATGTCTTGAAGATGAAAAACAGTTTTGTTTCAGCTGATTTTGATAGAAAATGTGCTAATTCTCAGGTAGACAGTTTAAAGTTATATAGAAAGTGTGAAGATGAAAGTAAAAATAATTTGTAATTGCAGTCATCAGCATTTGGAATATTATCATTAGTAAATATTTGTTAAACCCTTACTATATATTTTACATATATATTTCTTATAAACTTTCTAATCTCAATTTTTCTTTTTCCAACTCTTTTTTCAATAGTTTGGTTCTCTTTAGTTCTTGACTAGGTTTTTATACACATATAGAACTTATAGTATTATCACTACTTAATAGTATTGAATACTAACTGTGTATTAAACATAATACTGGATGCTCTTATCAGGGGTTCCCAACCCGCTGGCCACTGACCTGCACTTAGGCCGCACAGCAGAAGGTGAGCAGAGAGTGAGGAGCGAAGCTGAGCTCTGCCTCCTGTCAGATCTGCAGCAGCATTAGATTCTCATAGGAGCACGAACCCTACCATGAACTGTGCATGCCAGGGATCTTGGTTGCGTACTCCTTATGAGAATCTAATGATAAATGTAATGTGCTTGAATTATTTGAAACCATGCCCCCCACCTCCACCTCATGCCTTACCCCCATAGGTTCGTGGAAAAATTGTCTTCATTGTGAAACCAGTCCCTAGTGCCAAAAAGGTTGAGTGTCGCTGCTCTATATGTATTCTCTTGTTTAATTCTCACAATAATACTATGAGGAAGTTAGCAATATTTGATTAAGTAATATGCTTAAGATTATACAATTAGTAAGAGGTGAAAGTGAATATAGGACTTAGGGACTTTTGATCTCTTTCAGGGCTCCTGAAATTTTCATCTTAATTAAAAGGCCATATCGCCATCCTAGATCTCAGTTCTCTAGTAACTGTTGTTATTCCTTCAATTAAGAAGCCATCAACTTTCCCCCCCCCCCGGAAACCTTTGAATGTGGTCAATTTGAGGACCAAATGTTGCTATTTTATCCTCTGTCCATATTTTTTCATTGAGCAGGTTCTGAGTATATTGTTCGTAACTTTATATTTCCTAGAATGATCTTTAAAAATATAGTATTAACCACATGTGGTAGTACATGCCTATAGTCCTACCTACTTGGGAGGCTGAGGTGGGGAGGGTCGCTTGAGCCCAGGAGGTCAAGGTTACTGTGAGCTATGATTGTGTCAATACACTCCAGCCTGGGTGACAGAGTGAGACCCTGTCTCTTCAAACAAACAAACCCAAAGAGTGGAATAGATGATGTTACTCTTTTTCTTTTAGAATTCTCTAATAGCATTTTTTAGTGCATAAATGGAATCTGAACTCCTCACAGTGTCTCTGGATGATTTGGCTCTTGCAGGACCTTCTAAACAGTTATTATATCACAATATTCTGCAAACAGAATTAGAATATCTCTTTTATTATATGATTACTGAAAGTCATAAATAATTTTAAGTATTTTGTAATTATAAAAGTTATATAATCATTTTATAGGAGTTTTAGAAAAAAGAAAACACTATATTTTACATCCTAGAGTTTAGCCTCTTTGGGAACAAAAGGAAACTTTGATGAAAAAGGAAATGATCTAAGATTGAGGACATAAAGAAATTACTACCTTGAGATTAAGAGCTAAGGTTTTTAATCACCCTAATCTGAGTTCAGATTTGCTTTTTTACATACACTATATGTCCTTAAGTAAGTTGCTTCTTTAAGCCTTTTCTTATTCAAGTTTGCTAATAAATACATATGAAATACATAGCACAGTGCCTGGCTTACAGTAAGTATTCAATAAATGACAGCTACAATGGAAAGCAAATCTATTTCAGGAGTTAGGATTTAAATATAAAAGATTTATGGGATATTTTTTATTTGAGGCCAACAATTAGGCATATACTGTAAACTGTGTGGTAGTTAGTAAACATTGAACATATTAATGGGCTAAGAAAGGATTTAGATTGATATAACTAATTTGTAACAGACTAAGAAGTTAAGGACAAGTAAATTATTTGCCTGCATTTTGAATATTAATATCATTAGCAGCAGTTATTACAACAGATGGCAGAATTGTGTGGCAGAAGAACATGGGTATGTCTAGAGAAAAGGGGTGGTTTATAAAAAAGACAAATGTGCCTTTATTTTTTCCAATAAGACTAAGAAGTTATTACACATGGACCTGCAAAATACCAGAGATCACAAATATGTCAAAGAATTGAATCAAGTCGATATATTCAAATTGAGCCTATCTTCTTTTTTCTGAAATTGATTATAACCAAAACTTTTGACATTAAGTATTAACTGTTGGTCTAATTTGTACCATTAGTTTCCATTTATAGTCATACCTCATTTTATTGTACTTTGCTATTGCACATTGCTGATTGCTGGATTTTTTTTACAAATTTATGGTTTTTGGCAACCCTGTGTTGAGCTAGTCTATCTGTGCCATTTATCCAACAGCATGTGCTTACTTTATGTCTTTATGTCGTATTTTGGTAATTGTTACAATATTTCAGCGTTTTTATTATTATTATTTATCTGTTATGGTGATCTGTGATCAGTAATCTTTGGGGTTACTATTGTAATTGTTTTAGGGCACCACAAACCACACCCATTTAAAACAGTGAACTTAATCGATAAATGTTGTCTGTGTTCTGACTGTGCTACCAACTGGCCATTCCCATCTCTCCCACTCTCCTTGGGAAGGGCCATTCCCCTGTTTCTCTATTCCCTGAGATACAACAGTATTGAAATTAGGCCAATTATAGCCCTACAGTGGCCTGAAGGGTTTAAGAGAAAGGAAAAGTTGCATGTCTCTCACTTTAAATAAAAAGCTAGAAATGATTAAGCTTAGTGAAGATGATATATCAAAAGCCTATACAGGCCAAAAGCTGGACTTCTTGTGCCAAACATTTAGCCAAGTTGTGAATGCAAATACAGATCATTAAAGGAAATTAAAAGTAAATGATTGCTCCAGTGAGCAAATGACTGATAAGACAGTGAAACAGCTTTATACTGTTGAGTTGAAGAAAATTTTAGTGGTCTTTATAAAAGATCAAACCAGCCACACTATTTGCTTAGGCCAGAGCCTATTTCAGATAATGTCCTAACTCTCTTCAATTCTGGGAAGGCTAAGAGAAGTGAGGAAGCTGCAGAAGAAAAGTGAAGCTAGCAGAGGTTCTTTCATAGGTTTAAGGAAGGAAGCTGTCTCCATATCAGAAAAGTACAAGGTGAAGCAGTAAGTTCCGAAGACTTAGCTAATAAATTGAGGAAGGTGGCTACACTAAGCAACAGATTTTCAATGTGGACAAAACATCTTTTATTGGAAGATGATACCATCCTATAATGTTCCTGTCTACCAAGAAGTAAATGCCTGGCTTCGGTGTTACAAAGGATAGGCTGATTCTCTTGTTAGGGAGTCATACAGCTGGTGACTTTAAGTTGAAGCCAATGCACATTTACCATTCTGAAGATCCTAGGACCTTTAAGAATTACACTATATCTACTCTGCTTATGTTTTGTAAAGGGAATGACAAAGCCTAGGTAATAGTGCATCTGTTTATAGCACGGCTCATTGGATATTTTAAGCCCACTATTGAGACCTGCTGTTAGAAGAAAAGAGTCTTTTCAAATTACTACTTATCATTGATAATAAACATGGTCACCCAAGAGCTCTGATCAGATATACAAGTTGATTCATGTTATTTTCTTGCTTGTTAGTGAAATATTCATTCTGCATTACATGGATTAAGGGTCATTTTGACTTATTTAACAAATACTTTGTCTTATTTTTAAGATGTACATTTTATTAGGCTGTAGCTGCTATAGATAGTAAATCCTTTGATGGATCTGGGCAAAGTAAATGGAAAGTCTTCTGGAATTGATTCACTGTTGTAGATACCATGAAGAACACACATGATTCATGGGAAGAGATCAACATATCAATGTCAATAGGAGTTTGGAATAAGTTGGTTCTAACTCTCATGGATGACTTTGAGGAGTTAATGATTTCCATGGAGGAAGTCACTGCTGATGTGGTGGAAGTAGCAAGAGAATCAGAATGAGAAGCAGAGCTTAAACATGTGATGGAATTGCTACAATCTCATGATAATACTCTAAGGAATGAAGAGTTGCTTCCTATGGATAAGCAAAGAAAGTGGTTCCCTGCAATGGAATCTACGCATGATGAAGATACTGTGAACATTGCTGAAATGACAACAAAGAATTTAGAATATTACCTAAATGTATTTGATAAAGCAATGGTAGGGTTTGAGAGGATTGATTCCAGTTCCAAAATAAATTATCCTGTGAGTAAAATGCTGTCAAAAGGCACTGCTTGCTACAGAAAAATCTTTTGTGGCAAAAGTTTGTTGTCTTATTTTAAGAGACTGCTACAGTTACCACCCTCACCCATCAGTCAACATCTATGAACATGGAGACAAAACCTTCCAATAGCAAAAAGATTATTGTTCACTAAAGGGTCAGATAATTGTTAGCATTTTTAAACAATAAAGTATTTTTAAATGAAAGTGTGTGTAGTATTTTTTTTAGATATAATGCTATTGTACAATTAATAGATTAAGTATAGTGTAAATGTAACTTTTATATACACTTGGAAACCAAAATATTTGTGTGACTCGCTTTATTGTTATAACCATTTTATTGCAGTGGTCCGGAACTAAACCTGTGATATCTCCACGGTATGCCTGTATTTATCTGTTAGGGAACAGTGTTCTTCATGTTCTTATTTTAGATTTACCTTCTGCTTGAGCCTTTGGTTTTCAGAGTTTGATAAATAAATTTGAGTTTTTTCTTTACATTAAGTTCTAACTTACTTGGGAAAGTTAGTAGAATAGTGATGTGTGTAGGTTCTCCTTAAAGATAGGGAATTTGACTAGATGAAGAGGTCAGTGAGATGACCTGTAGAGCGGTAATGAAACCTGGGCCCCTTTAAGAGGTCAGTCTAGTTTGTCTTTTTCTTTCTCACAGATACTTTATTTTTAATCCTGATACATAACTGTACGATTTAAAATACTCTCAGCTGGGCACAGTGGCTCACACCTGTAATCCCAGCACTTTGGGAGGCTGAGTTGGGTCAATCACCTGAGGTAGGGAGTTCGAAACCAGCCTGGCCAACATGGTAAAACCCCATCTCTTAAAAAAAAAAAAAATACTCTCAAGAATTCCTTTGTGGTCAGGTGTTGGAGCTCACACCTATAATCCCAGTGCTTTGGGAGGCCAAGGCAGGAGGCCTGAGTTACATAACAAGACTGTCTTTTCAAGAAATTAAAAAACAAAAATTAGCTGGGAGTGTGGTGTATTCCTGTAGTCCTAGGAGGCTGAAGTGAGAAGATCTCTTGGGCACGGGAGTTCAAGGATATAGTGAGCTATGATTGTGCCACTGTACTCCAGCCTGGGAAACAGACTGAGACCCTGTCTTGAAAAAGAAAAGAAGGAATTCCTTTGGCATCCTACTCTGTGTCTGATAGTTTCAGTTTTTTCTCCTGCATGTTTATTTTTTAGCACTTTTAATGTGATATTTTACGTATTTTAGTTTTTATGATTAGAGGTAAAGATAACCAGTTATCCTCATATAGTTGTTGTTTGTTTGTTTTATTTTTTGAGACAGAGTCTCAGTCTGTGGTCCAAGCTGTAGTGCAGTGGTGGGATCTTGGCTCACTGCAACCTGCGCCTCCTGGGTTCAAGTGATTCTCCTACCTCAGGCTTCTGAGTAGCTGGGATTACAGGCATGCACCACCATGCCTGGCTAATTTTTGTATTTTTAGTACAGATGGGGTTTCACCATGTTGGCCAGGCCAGTCTCAAACTCCTAACCTCAAGTGATCCGCCTGCTTTGGCCTTCCAAAGTGCTGGGATTATAGGTATGAGCCACCAAATCTGAACAGTTTTCATATAGTTATAATTACTATTTGTTTAATATTATATATTAGGACATATGTCTTTAGATTGAATAATTTTAAAAATGAGCTAGCTTCTCTATTTTCATGTTTTGCAAGTATAAAACCTCTCATTTAAAGACATTTTTCTAAGAGTCTTTGCCTAATGTTTGGTTAAGTAAGTATTAGTTATGTAAATAATGTATATTTTGTGTATATTGAAAGATTTGTGAACATGTTTTGAATTTAAACATTGTGATGTTAAATGTAGTTATTTTATGGTTACATAATCAACTCCTTTAATTTTTTTTCCAGGAGGATAGCAAACAAGCTCAATTCTTAGCCTTGGCAGTTGTATACTTTATCTCTGTTCTTATGGTCTCCAAGTACAGAGACATTTTGGAACCCCAAAATGAAAGGCATAGCCAGTCACTTACGGAAACTGGCAGTGAAAATGGGAATGTATCACTCTCTGGTAAGTTTGCATTTTCTGTTCCTTTGTACCAAAGTTCAAATAAATGTTACTTACTCCTGTTGGTTAAAATATTGATACTGGAATTTAAATTTATGTATATATTAAGTGAGAGCATACACATATTTTTATTAACTAAATGTTTTGGCTTGAATATAATTAATTGCAATTGGGATTTTTTGTTCTTTAAATGAACCATCTAATTAAAGATAAGTCAGAAAATGGTATCTTATACAAAAAAAGAGTTGAAAAATTTTATTGACTTCATTTGGTGTGAAGAATCACTAACGCATATTCTTTTATGAGAGACAGACTTGTTAACAAGTAACTGTAATAGTTGGAGTTTTGAAAGTAGTTGCCAATTATAGAAATATGGTTAGTTAAGTCACTGTTGCAGTTATAGAAGTACCTGCCACCCAAAGGAGGCAATTTATTATTCATTCAATATTCATTCAGCATCCACTGGGTACTTGGGTATATATTTATGACCAAAACAAAACAAAAAATCTCTATCCTTGTTGAGCTTATATTCTAATGGGAGGAGACAGAAAATATGTATATGTTATAGGTAAATTGTATAGTATTTTAGAAGGTGGTAAAAGTGCTAAAAAAAATAATAAACAGGATGAAAATATCAGGAATGACTAGCAGTTATTGGGTATGGAGTTTTCTCTGAGGGAAATGAGAATTCATTGGAGGATTTTGAGTACAGGAGTTAGAATTTACGTTTTTAAAAGTAACTCTGGTCGGGGCATGGTGGCTCACGCCTGTAATCCCAGCACTTTGGGAAGCCAAGGTGGCCAGATCACTTGAGGTCAGAAGTTGGAGACCAGCCTGGCCAACATGGTAAAGCCCCATCTCTACTAAAAATACAAAAATCAGTTGGGCGTGGTTGTGGGTGCCTGTAATCCCATTTCTTAGGAGTCTGAGGCAGGAGAATTGCTTGAACCCGGAGGCAGAGGTTGTAGTGAGCAGAAATTCTGCCACTGTACTCCAGCCTGGGTGACAGAGTTAGACTCTGTTTCCCCCGCCCCCCAAAAAAGTAACTCTGTATTCTGTGTTGAGGATATACCATTGAGAGCAAGATAATCAGTGTTTTTGGCTGGGTATTGCTGTTTTAACACCTTACCCTGCAGCTTGGTGACCCTAAGGCCACAACCATTTTAGTCTTTCTTTCATGATTCCTTGAATTAGATTTGGATACGGCATAGTGGGCATGGTTTATCCCTGTTTCAGATGATGTTTGCTGGGTCTGGAAAATCTGAGATGACTTTTCTAATAGCGTACATATAGTGCCTCAGCTGGGATGGCTCCAAGAGCTGGGAGTGGCTAACTGAAACAGCTGAGCTGGGGTTATATATCCGCAGCCTTGAACTGCTGGTTTCCTTCATTAGTTTGGAGAGCATCTTTGTCTCCATATGGTCTCTCTACATGTTCTTTCCAGCAAGGTAGATCAGAAATAAGCCACATTTCTTAAAGAGCTGTTCAGAAATTCTGGGAATGCAAGGACTGCCAGACTTTTTTTTTTAAATGGAGTCTTGCTCTGTCGCCAGGCTGAAGTGTAGTGGCGCAATCTTGGCTCACTGCAACCTCTGCTTCCTGGGTTCAAGCGATTTTTTCGCCTCAGCCTCCCAAGTAGCTGGGATGACATGCCCACACCCAGCTAATTTTTATATTTTTAGTAGAGACAGGATTTCAACCATGTTGGCCAGGATGCTCTTGATCTCCTGACCTTGTGATCCGTCTGCCTCAGCCTCCCAAAATACTGGGTTATAGGTGTGAGCCACCATGCCTGGCCTTTTCTTAAAACATGGGCCCACTGCTGCTGTTTCTGCCATATTCTCTTGGTTATTGTCAGTCAAGCCTAGCCCAGATTCAAGGGCTTATCAAGGGATGAATACCAGGAGACATGGGGTAGTAGTGTTGGGGTTCAGGGGTTTATGGGAGCCCTCAGTTCTCGAAAGTTCTTGGTCTCCTGCTCTCTCAGGAATGAGAGAGGGGACCACAGTAGGTGTGCTTGTAAAGTAAAATACTGGACCCCAAACAGAGTTTGTGAAAAGTGATTTTATTTAGGTACAGAAAAAGAAAAAGGAGAAGAGGAAAACTTCCACGAAGAGTGTGGAAGGGGACACCAGAGGGGAAATCTGGCCTGGTATGGGGACAAGGACTTTTAACCTGGGAGGAATTCTCTCCTTCTCCAAGCCTCCCCACTCTGGCCAATGAAAAGAGTTCCTTTAAACTTCCACTGGAATGATTGACTTTTGACCCTTTCCCACGCCCAGGAAAATTAAAACAGATACTATTAAATCTCCCGGATGGAGAGAGATGGGAGTGGGGCATGGTGCTGAGAAGTTCTTGCCCTTAAACCTATGCCTCCTTGTGGACCCTGGAAAGAGAACACATTCCCTTAGTAGTATTATTAAAACAACCCTCTTCCACAACCAGTTAGGAAGATATTGCAGTAATCAGTAATCCAGGCAAGTGTTTATGACAGGATGGAACACGTTGGTAACTGTAGAGTTGATAAGAGACAGTCAGATTGTGGATATGTTTTAGTGGTAGAAAAAACAGGATTTTAAAATATCAGGTGTACATTTTGTCAACAAAAAAAGGTAGTCATAAATGATTACAAGATATAGTGGAATAGATTAAAGGTGAAAGATTTTCAGGGAAAGATAGAGAAGAAATTTAGTTTTCAATATGTTGAGTTTGAGATGTTTTTAGACATATAAGAGAAGGTGTAGGGTAGCAGTTATATTTAATAGTTTCACTTTTTTGTCTGGGGGGATATAGTGGTATTTAAAACTTGGAGAATGAATGAGATCACCAAGGGACTAAATATAGATACAAAACGTAAGAGGAACAAGGACTGAACCCTGTGTCCCTTCAACTTAAGAAATCAGGGAGAAAAAGAGGTGAAGGATGTTAAGAAGGTACAATCAGTGAGATAGTACAAGGAAAATAAAAAGAGCATGGTATCCTGCAAGCCAAGGAAAGAAAGCATTGTCTAGTTTGAGGGAATAATCAGCTGGTGCCGTTATGTGAAGTCCTATTAGGACTGAGAACTGAGAACTGACCATTGGATTTTTTAGCAAGATGCAGATTTTTTGGTGATCTTGATAAGAGCATTTTTGCTAGAATGGGTTGAAACCCTGATTAAAGGCAGTGAGAATTAAACAGAGAGAAAAGGAGGTATTCCTTTTGAACTAGATTTTAAGGATCATTGAATTATTTATGCATGTAGAAGGGGTAACAAGTTTTCCAGCTGCAGTAACCACATTTAATGTAGGGCTTTTTAGTTTATCTTAAAGATTGTGGACTTGGGCCGGGTGTGGTGGTATATATCTGTAATCCCAGCACTTCGGGAGGCCGAGGTGGGCAGATTGCTTGAGCTTAGGAGTTTGAGACCAGCCTGGGCAACATGGTGAAACCTCATCTCCACAAAAAAATAGAAAAATTAGCCGGATGTGGTGGTACACACCTGTAGTCTAAGTTACTTGAGAAACTTAGGTGGGAGGATTGCCTGAGCCCAGGATGTCAAGGCTGCAGTGAGCCTAGATCACATCACTGCACTCCAGCCTGGGCAACAGACTGAGACACCCTTCCGCCCCCACTCTTTCACACACACACACACACACACACACACACACACACACACACACCCAAAAAAGATTGTATACTTTTTTTTACAGGCCAATGACTTTAACCTTTTGTTGCTACCCATAAGTTTAGATAATTTTTGTAAGTATTTTATTTTTTATTTTATTATACCATCTATCTTGTTAATAGGCACATCCACTCAGTACATTTTATAGAATATGTAATTAGTTTTTGCTTTTTTAGAACATGATGTAGTTCATAATTCAAAACAGTAGATAGCTATTAGGATTCAATATACCTTTTAAAAATTATTTCTAAATTTTTGTTTGTTTATTTCTTCTGTTTCTGGATATGATATAGAAATTGTACCAGCAGCATTCAGCACTTTAACTACGACATCAGTGGAAGAATCTGAAAGCACATCATCTGCTCGAAGGAGGGACTCAGGCATTGGGGAAGAAACAGCCACTTGTTTAGGAAGCCATGTGGAAGTAACTCCTCACACAGCACCTCCTGGTGTCAGTGCAGGCCCAGATGCAATCAGTGAGGTACTATCTACTCTTTCTTTAGAAGTCAGTAAGTCTCCAGAAACCAAAAATGATAGAGGAAATGAGTTGGACACTAAGGCTACACCATCAGTTTCAGTTTCAAAAACTGTCAATGTGAAAGACATTCTCCGAAGCTTGGTTAACATACCACCAGATGGAGTCACAGTGGATCCTGCCCTTCTGCCACCAACCTGTCTTGGAGCCCTTGGTGATCTCTCTGTGGAACAAACTGTGCAGTTTAGATCATTTGACAGGTACTGAAAATAGTTTTTCATTTGGTATGTTTCTACATCTGACCAATAACATGGGGGTTAGGGATGCTGACCTCCTGTGTAGTCAAAAATATACATATAACTTTTCACTGCCCCAGAACTTAGCTACCAATAGCTTGTGTTTATCAGAAACTTTACTGATAACATGAACAGTTGATTCACACATATTTTGATTGTTATATGTATTTTATACTATACTCTTAAAGTAAGCTAGAAAAAAGACCATGTTATTAAGAAAATCATAAGGAAGGCCAGGCATGGTGGCTCATGCCTGTAATCCCAGCACTTTGGGAGGCTGAGGTGGGTGGATCACCTGAGGTCAAGAGTTCAAGACCAACCTGACCAACATGGTGAAACCCTGTCTCTACTAAAAATATAAAAATTAGATGGGCATGCTGGTGTGTGCCTGTAATCCCAGCTACTCAGGAGGCTGAGGCAGGAGAATTGCTTTAACTCAGGAGGGGTGGAGGTTGCCATGAGCCAAGATTGCGTCATTGCACGCCAGCCTGGGCAACAAGAGCTAAATTCTGTCTTAAAAAAAAAAAAAAAAGAAACAAAAAAAAAGAAAAAAAAAAAAAAGAAAAATCATAAGAAAGAAAAAAATACATTACTGTTCATCAGTGGAAGTAAATCATCATAAAGATCTTCATCTTTCCTGTCTTCATGTTGAGTATCCTGAGGAGGAGGAGGAAGAAAAGAGGTTGATCTAGGTGTCTCAGGGGCAGGTGAGGTAGCAGAGGTGGAGAAACTGAAAGGGGAAGCAGGAGAGGCAGGCACACTTGGTGTACGTTTATAGACATGCATTGCAATTTCTTTCTGACCTTTTTGCTTTTTTGTTTGTCTAAAAATGTTTCTCTATGGTACCAAACCTTCTTTCACCATTTGCTTTAGTTTCAGTGCCTGTATCATAGAAGAGTCTATGTCATAAAATAAGTTAAAAGCAGTCTTGAATTGTTAGAACCCTTCTGCTAGATTGTCTAATGTCAGTTCATTTTCTGGTACTGCTTCTTCTGTGTCTTCCTTATCATCTAATACTGATTTAGATGTTCTTGTCTTTATCAAGTTGTTTTCCCTCTGTTGATCCCTCTGTTAGTTCTCGTGGTATCTGTTCTTAAATTTCTCCAAGATTCGTATCTTGAAACCCTTCACCCCTCACCTTTTTGTCATACCCATAATCTCTCATGATTTTCTTGATTAGTTCTGTCATAAATCCTGTGAAGTCATGCATAACACCTAGACACAGTCTTCTCTAGGAGGAATTTAGTGTTTCAAACTTGATGGTTTCCACAGCTTTTTCTGTAACAAGTATCTTCAGTGGTGTAATCCTTCCAGACATTCATGATGTTCTGTTGGGTTCTCTTCCATAGTGTTGACAGTTGTTTCCTAAGAATACCATGTGTAATGAACCATAAAAGTCTTTGTGACCTCCTGTTCTAGAGGCTGAATTAAAAAAGTTGTGTTTGAGGGCAATTAATCTACTTCAACACCCTCAGTTTTGAACTCATGGAGTTCTGGGTGGTCAAGGGCATTATCCAATAGCAAAAGAACTTTAAAAGTTAATATCTTACTGATAAGGTACTTTCTGACTTTAGGTACAAAGTATCAGTGGAAACCAATCCAGAAAAAGGGTTCTCGTCGTCCAGGACTTCTTGTATAACCAACAGAGTTGCAGCTGGTGTTTGTGTTTTCCTTTCAAGGCTCAGGGATTAGCAGCTTTGTATTAATGGATAAGGGCAATCCTGATGATAAACCCAGCTGCATTTGCACAAAACAGTAGAGTTAGCCTGTCTCTTACTGTCGTAAGTCCTCGTGCTCACTTCTCTTCCTTGCTAATAAATGTGCTTTGTGGCTTCCCTGCCATGCTCCCCCATCCCCTCCCCCAGGTTACTTTTGTCTGCATTACAAACCTGATCAGGCTGATCCTTTCTCCTAAATGATTTTCTTAATGATGTCTAGGAACTCATCTGCTCCCTCTTGGTTGGCAGAAGCTGCTTCTCCTGTTATCTTGACATTTTTTTTTTTTTTTAAAGCCAAACCTCTTTCTCATATTATCAAATCATCCTTTGCTGGCATTAAATTTAGCTTTAGTTCCTTCGTTACTTTAAGTTGACGTAATGACTTTAGTTTTTCTCGAATCATGTCAGAGTCTATAAGTATGCCTTTCTTATAGCAACCCTGCATCCACATAAAAGCTGCATTTTCAGTGCAAGATAAAGATATTTCACAAAAAGTGCAAGTTTTTTTTTTTTTTTTTTTTTGCCTTCTGGTGTCACTGTAGTGACAACTTTGCCCATTTCTTTTTCTTTTGTTACAGTGGTCCTTATGCTGAATTAATTTCTTTGGAAATGGTGGGCAACCATAGCTGCAGACCTCAATCTACAGTACATATCAAGCAATTCAACTTTTTCTTGTAATGTCATGACATTTCACTGCTGCTTGGGAGCATGTCCAGAATTGCTAGTGGCACTTTATGTGGGACCCATTATGTTATTAAATGTTTAATGCACAAAACATGATGAAAAATATGTGAGAACTGGGAGAGATCACTTTTACTGTGATACACAGTTTACTAGGGAGATGAACTTCCCAGCACATTGGGATGCCAAGGAGGGTGGATCATCTGAGGTCAGGTGTTTGAGACCAGTCTGGCCACGATAGTGAAACCCTGTCTCTACTAAAAATAGAAAAAAAATTATTTGTGTGTGGTGGCAGGTGCCTATTATCCCAGATACCTGGGAGGCTGAGGCAGGAGAATCGCTTGAGCCTAGGAGGTGGAAGTTATAGTGAGCTAAGACTGCGCCATTGCACTCCAGCCTGGGCAACAAGAACAGAACTCTACCCCTGCAAAAGAGAGAGAGAGAGAGAGAGATGGATTGCACGCTCTGAGACGATTACCATCACACAGTCTTTTAAGTGATGCTCACAACACTGGAGCTCAATGCAATTGTGGCAGGAAGTAGCTATGACATTTTTACAGTACTACAGTATGGATTGTTACTTTTAATACAGTTGTGTTTTAGTAATGAAGTTTACATTTCTCTTAACTGCAGATGGTACCATGTATTATAATTGTGTGTGTAAATTTTAAAGTATTTTAACTTATTTTTGTATCCTCTGAGATTTTTCATTTTATTAAATTTTGTTTTGTCTTGGTGCCAGTGGCTCCCACCTGTAATTCCAGTATTTTGTGGGGCTGAGGTGGGAGGATTGCTTGAGCCCAGGAATTTGAGACCAGCCTTGGCAACATGGTGAGATTTTTTTTTTTTTTTTTTTTGAAATGGAGTCTCTTTCTGTTGCCCAGGCTGGAGTGCAGTGGTGCAATCTCAGCTCAGTGCGACTTCCACCTCCTCAGTTCAAACAGTTCTCCTGCCTCAGCCTCCTGAGTAGCTGGGATTACAGGTGCATGTCACCACGCCTGGCTAATTTTTGTATTTTTAGTAGAAATGGGGTTTCACCATGTTGGCCAGGCTGGTCTAGATCTCCTAACCTTGTGATCCACCCACCTCGTCCTCCAAAAGTGCTGGGATTATAGGCGTGAGCCACATTACCTGGTGGAGATTTTAAAATAAAAAAATTAGTTGGGCATGGTGGTGTGTGCCTGTAGTCTCAGCCACTCAGGAGGCTGAGGCAGGAGTTTGACACTACAGTGAGCTGTCTTCATACCACTGTACTGCAGCCTGGATAGAGCGAGACCCTGTCTCAAAATTTTTTTTTTTTAAAATTGATGCATAATGAGTGGGATTTATTCTGGGAATGCAAGAATGGCTGAACATATGCAAATTGATCAATGTGATACATATCAACAGAATGGAGGACAGAAATAATATAATCATTTCAATTGCTGTTGAAAAGCATTTGATAAAATTTACTATTCCTTCATGATAAAAACCCTCAAGAAACTGCACATAGAGGGAACATACCTCAACACAATAAAAGCTGTAAACAACAGATCCACAGTGAGTATCATGGAACAGAGAAAAACTGAAAGCCTTTTCTCTAACATCTGGAATGAGATAAAGATGCCCACTTTCATTACTTTTATTCAACATAGTACTGGAGGTCCTAGGTAAAGCAATCAGTAAGAGAAAGGAGTGGCATTTAAATTGGAAAGGAAGAACTCAGTTGTTTGCAGATGATATGATCTTATGTTTAGAAAAACCTCAAGAGTCCATGAAAACTATTATAAATGGTAAATTCAGTACAGTCGCATGATAAAAATTAGCATACAGGCCGGGCGCGGTGGCTCAAGCCTGTAATCCCAGCACTTTGGGAGGCCGAGGCAGGTGGATCACGAGGTCAAGAGATCGAGATCATCCTGGTCAACATGGTGAAACCCCGTCTCTACTAAAAATACAAAAAATTAGCTGGGCATGGTGATGCGTGCCTGTAATCCCAGCTACTCAGGAGGCTGAGGCAGGAGAATTGCCTGAACCCAGGAGGCGGAGGTTGCGGTGAGCCGAGATCGCGCCATTGCACTCCAGCCTGGGTAACAAGAGCGAAACTCCGTCCCCCCCACAAAAAAAAATAATAATAATTAATTTAAAAAATTAGCATACAAAATCAGTATCATTTCGATATGCTAACAGTGAACAATCTGAAAAAAATTAAAAAAAGTAATCCAATTTACAATTGCTACAAATAAAATAAAATTCCTAGGAATAAACAACCAAATAAGTGAACGATTTCTTAATGACAACTATAAAACATTGATGCAAAAAAATAAAAAGGATTCCCAAAATGAAAGCTATTTCATATTTGTGGATTGGAAGAATTAATAATGTCAAAATGTTGATACTACCCAAAGCAATATACAGATTCAGTGCAATCCCTATCAAAATACCAATGACATTCTTCACAGAAATAGAAAAAATATTCCTAAAAACTATATGGAAACCACAGAGACCCAGAATAGCCAAAGCCATCTTGAGCAAAGAGAGCAGAACTTCAAATTATACTATAAAGCTGTAATAACCAAAACAGCA